ACTGACATTGGGCACAGTCAGCTGGCAGGGTTGTGATGTGGAGCTAAGGCCTGGTAGGTTGAGCAGAATCACAGGGACTTGGCAGGGGTCTGGCAGAGGCAGACGGGGGCGGGCTTGCAGAGGGACACCGCTGGATGTGGGAGGGGCAGCCAGGGTGTTCCCTGCTCCGGGGCCCGTCAGCAAAGCCACCTCTCTGTCTAAACCCCAGCAGCAAATAAGCCAGGCTTACCTTTGCACCCAGATGGGCGCCCACCTCAGCTGTGCCGATCAACAGGGCTGGCATCCAATCCCTGACATCCAACATTCCCTGTGGGACATGGGGAAGAAATACATAAGGGCTAAAATTACAGAGGGCAGAAATAAAAGCAGAAACATCTCCCCGAAACACACTGTATGCACGCCATCACAGAGAACACCCAGACTCTAGAAAATACATGTGTCCTATAGATGGAGCTGACTTCCAGGTGTGTGTGGTTGGGGGGCGGGCGGTGATTGCATTCGGGAAGGGGGTCTTTGGTTGGTCCGTGTCTCTGCAAAGTGATGGGATGAACACTTATCCCAGTAGGGCCTCAGAATCCAGAAGCTCGTCCTGTTCCAAGGCTCGTGATGTCAGCTCCCGAGGTCTCCGAGGCTGGGCAGCGCTGTGTGCACTGATTCTTTCATTCCTCAGTGGTGCTGGGTTTCTCAGAGCTCACCAGCTTCCCCATGGACAGCAAGCATCTGTGCCGTCTTGCAGAGCATGTCAATCAGGAGGCGTCCAGCGGCAGAACATGACAAGACGGGCAGAATCAACACAGTGTTCGATGAAGCGAGTCTGAGCCAGAGCACGGGATGCGCCTGGATGCGCAGATGGAGGCTGCTGTGTTCAAGTAAACTGGATAATGGGGGGACTTGTGCGCTGGGGTGGCCTATGCATCACTGTGACAGAGACAGAATTAGTAATTCCTGTTAATAATGCTAAGTTTGGCAGCCACTGTTTATTACATGCCTGCCAATGCCTTGCCCTGTGTTAAAGACTTTGCATGTGTTACTTGATTAAATTGTCCAGTAAACCTAAGGGCTTGAGAAAACATTGTGAATCTCGCATTATACACAAAAGCCAAGGATCACTTAGATTATGTGCCTGATCCACTGTAGTTTGGAACCTACACCAGGCTTGGTGGACCCAGTTCTCAGAGCCCTGGAGATACTGTGGCAGACGAGTGGTATGGCTCGGGCTGCCAGGAGGAGACTAGGAGAGGACAGCTCTCCCTCGGACAGCTGGTCCTTGACCAGGACCTTCGTGCCACCAGGTGCCCTCCCACCTGCCCGGCCTTGGCCTTGCAATGACCAGCCCTCTTTCCGCACACCGTGCTTCTGCGGTGCTTCCTTCTCCCCAGGAGACGCCACAAGGTGCCGGCCTACAGGAGTGGCACAGGGCATCTTCTGTCTTGCCTGGGCCTGCAGCCCGAGCTTGTGGGGGTGACTTCCCCGCTGCTGTCCTCAGCTCTGCACCCCAAGTGGGAGGCTCAGCACCACCTGTGGGCACCCGAGCCATCTGCTCCGTCCTGGGCGAGTCAGCAGGTGACTAGAGCGGTGAAGCTGCCTAAGGCGAGAGGTTCTCTCTGTTACACGGGTGGTGTCCTTCTGGAAATGACACGAACAAACTGCAAGGGCTAGCTGCTCTAATGCCTTCCGGATATCCCGCTATTGAGATGGCCGGGACCTGCCCCCTGCCTTTCCATCCCCACATCAGGACGGGCTCCGCACAGGCCCCAGGCATGCCGGCAACACGGTGCCAGGCCCTCCCTTCCGTCGTCCTGCACGCCAGTAGGAAGAGAACATGTGGGAGAGTCCCAGCCGCCTCTGGCGACCTCCAGCTTCTCCGGCCACCGGGTGTCATTAACTACTTACTCGAGCACAGAGCCAAAGGGAAGTGGACTCTTCCCAGAGGCACCACATTAGGGGGCACAGCTGTGTCCCAGGAGAAAGCTGAAGGCAGAGGACTAAGACAATGACAAGGGTGACCTCTGTGTGTGGGGTGGCATTTCCTTCTGACCCGCCTCTGGCTTTCATTTGGAGATCGCCAGCCCCTAGCTTGAGCAGACAGACAGGAGAGCCACAGTGCTTCCATCTTGTTGCCTGGCGAGTGCCAGCCCGGGCCACCACCAGGATGACAGCGGGTCGGGGCCAGTGTCAGCGCAGCAGGTCTGAAGAGCCGGCAGCTGCTGGCCGGTCACCCCGGGTTGGGGGAATGTGAGGCACGTACATGGGTGGGCAGCTTCTGCCCTGGCCCACAGCCAGTCTGTAAGGTTTCTATCACCCCGCATCTCAGATGAGGCTGTGGGGTTAAACAGGGAGCTTGATGGCGGGGGGTGCTAAGAAGTGGAACAGATGCACAGGCCAGCTCCTGTCCCTGCAGGGCGGGGGCTCTCTGCTCAGCCTTGGCCACGGGAGGGTGGAGGGACTGACCCTCTCCCCCAGGCCACGGCCAAGAAACCAGCCTGGACTCATTTAATTAGTGAGTCTAACACAGGTCCCACTTGGAGAACGCCACCTAGTTAAAGTCACTTCTCCCCTGAGCACAGATTCCCGACCTCAGCCCTGTAGACTCTCAGGGCAGATACTCTGCAGGGCGGGTGCCCTCCCGTGCACCGCGGCATGTCTAGCAGCAGCCTGGCCTCCACCCACCAGATGCCAAAAGCTCATCTCCCCACTCCACCCCATCAAAATCATCTCCAGACATCACCAAACACCCTCAGCACACAGGGGCAGTGTGCACAATCTTCCCTAGTTGAGAACCACTGACATAAAACAATGTATCAATTTAGGTGAGTTGGACAATTTTTGAAGGAAGTGTTTCCCCATTTGCTGCTCTAATATGCATGAGGGTGAAGACAAGACTGGGGACCAAGGAGTGAAAACGGGATGTGCAAACACCACTGTCGTCATCATCCTGAGACCCGCCACATGTGGCCATGCTGCCTGGCCTGCAATGGCCTTGCTCTCGTCACTGTACGTGACCAGGGCCTGCTGGCCTTCCTCAGCCAGGCAGAGCATCTGTGCCTCTTGGCTGCAGACACAAAAATGCATCCCAGCCGGAAGAGCAGCACTGCTACGACAGGGCAAAGGGGGAAATGAGTTGAGCAAAGCCCTCTGCATTGGAGGTTTCGGCAGGATCGTGTTGTTAGCTCACAACCCAGCTGAGCGCTGACCTGGTCCAACTGTCTCAGTCATCGTCATAGCACAGAATCCAGCGCAGCATGGACACAAAGACGTGCTAGGTGACTGTTTGTTGAACTGATGGGTCACTACCATGCGACCAGTAATGCATCATTTATTTGAAAACCTGGCTCCCTGATTGGCCTCCGCCAAGCCCTGGAGGCTAGACACCTGTGTGTGGCTACCCCCACACTGTCACAAACATTGGGTCACCCTTCTCAACTCAACTAAACAGCCTTCATCTTGGACCCCTTGTCGTAAGTTGCTGCATTGAGCAGAACCTGCTTTTGCCAGACAGGCAGCCCAGATGGGTGACCTTTAACCTGGGTTGGGGAGTCTGAGACGCCGAGGGGTCATTCTCAAGGTGTACCACAGGCCCCTGCCATCACCTGCTCCCCACCCCCGAGTACTCTGCACCCTGGCTTATTGCCTGAGCCACACCCCCGGGAGAGCCCCACAGCCCACTGACCAGCCAGGACCATGAGTGCTGCACCCGGGACAGAATAGACCCTCGCGTGGACAGTCTGCTTCTGGGAAAGGCCCTGTCTGCCTCTGATGGAATTACCTTGTGGGAGGCTCCTCAGCATGAAAAGTTCAACTGACTGGCCTGCAAGGGGAAAGGAGCGTGTGTTGCCTCATGCACCTGCCCGTCACCCAGCAGGTGCTCACTAAACGCCTACCACGTGCAAGGCTCTGCATGAAAGACAGCCAACGGCAACATCAAGGGAGCAGTCGCCGAGACCACCGTCACCTCGGGCACCAGCTGCAGGTTTCAGCAGGTCTCAGGACCACACGCAGGTCTGATCATTCTCTAGAAAGACCCGTAGGTCCCATGAGCCGGTCATGGTTTATTACAGCATGGTTAAAATCAGCAGCCAGGGGGACAAACACACAGGGCAGAGTCCAGGGAAGTGCCAAACACAGGCTTCCAGTTCTTCCGTCTCCTGGAGTCAGGATGGTGTTACTCCCCGGCACTGAGGAGCCACAACATGCACGGAATAGGCCACCGGGGAAGCCCAGCTGAGCCGCTCATCCGGGCTGGGGCGTGTAAACCCAGCCACCCCATGGCTGACCGCAGTATCTAGCCCTCCACAGATGGACCGATACCCACAAGACCCAAAGCCCCCACCCGAACTCATGCTGTTCCCATCTGATTAGCACAAGACCCCCAGATAAAGAAGACAGTCCTGTCAGGCAGGACACCGCAAGGGCCTAGAAATCACCTCCCAGCAGCCAGGGCAGAGGCCAGGGTCCTTCTGGAGCAAGATTCAGGGCTTTCCTACACGCCCTGGGTCTGGACTGAGAAACATGCCGCCTTCTGCAGACCCACTGGCAGAAGCACAGGGGACGTTGAGAGTGGACGCCAGCAGTTCCTCCTGGCATTTCCCCTGGGGAGAGCCCGCACTTCCTGAACTCTCAGTCCATGTGGAGCAGGAGAGGCTGAACCCAGACGCCAGCCAGGTCCAGCTGTGGGCTCAGAACCAGCCAATCAGCATATCTGTCCTCCCACCTCCCACCCACATAACAGGCAGAGCAAGTGACCCAAGCCACTCAGTGATGTAAACCTTCTTCCTGGGGGGTCCCAGGGACCCCGGCAGCCACCCGCCACCTCCGGAGGAGAGCATGCCTGAAAACGGAGGAATCCAGAGAAAAGCAGAGCCACCATGTGGACAGGCAGCTTCCAGGATGTCCTTTGAACACCTGGACCCAGCCATGCTGGGACACAGGCTTACCTGGTCTCCTTGCCAGTCATGTAAGCCAGTCATTTTCCTTTTTGCCTAAGCTTGTTTGAGTCAGGCTTTTCTCATCTTCAGTGCTTTATCCGGCCAATACAAACACTCACCCCGATGTTCCCCCAGTTTCCATGTGTCTTCCACATTTCCCCAGGTATTGGCCAGTTCAAATGTAAACAGGTCCAAATAGGGCTCCAGGTCACCATCCTCCGCAGTGATGAGAAGGGGCTCCTGCAGACTCACTGCAGACTCACAGACCTCCAGGTACCGAGACCCAGAATAGAGAGCTGGGGCGTTGTCATTGATGTCTGGCAGGAAAAGCATCAGGGTCCCCAGCCCAGTCTGCAGGGGGAGGCCTTGTGAGAGGGGAATTGCAGGAGGGGTTGCTTATCAACTAAAGAGCCCGCTCCATGCATGACCCCTGGAAAATGAGCACGCTCAACTTCAGAGGAAAAGAACTGGTTCACTGAAATACTGAAACTGTTTCCCTTTCAATGAATAAGCCTTACTGTAGGTGACTGATGTATTTTTCTGCTTTCTTGAAAATCCAGAATACCAGGGTAGGCTAAGTTAAACATCTTGCCCTCTCAAATCATTTGTGGAACCAGCAGAATGTAGAGTCATCAAATAAACTCAAATGTCAATTATGCCTGGTGTTAAGAATTGGGTGAGGCCGAAGGGGAATGTGGTCAGTGACGGAAATGATTGGCATGCTGACTGTGCCCATGTCAGTGTCCTGGTCAGGATAGTGGACCATGGTTTTGCGAGGTGTTAACCACTGGGGGACACTGGGAAATGGGTACCCAGGGTCCCACTACATTGTTTCCTCAAGTGCTTGGGTGATGAACCCCATTTTCCTTGTTCTTACTCAAGATAGATTAGGAACACAGATATAGTACCTTCGTAACCAGTGTTCTTCTAATTAATTATGCAAGTGGGATATACACCTATGTAACTCTCAGAACCTGAGTTTTAACTCACAGGTTTTCTTAAATACAACTTTTAAAATTACCTGAAAGTTTTTATTTATTCAGTTTTATATTTTGGCAGGTTTTAAAGTTCAGCCTTGGGACATTATAGAGAAAAAGGTTGAAACATGCTCATAAACCCACCTATACTGGTTTATGACAAATGTGTCCCACACAGTCCTATCTGCCTGAACTTATAAGCCATTCCAAGTGCAGGGAAGCTGAGCTAATATTTATCTTACCCCAGTGCCTTTGGCAAAGAGCTGAAGAGCATCTCATGAGCAGAGGAACAGGACGTGGGGCTTGACTGTGGCTTCCTATGTTTCGTTATCTCTTCTGAATGGACACTGCTCCTCTTTCCGTGGCGGTGGCCCCTCGTTTGCCATTTCATAAAAAGTAATTGCCAGCATGGACACACAGTGATCAAAAGGCTTATTTTATATTTTCTCCAGTTGTGCTGAAAAGCTCACCAATGTTAGGAAGAAAGGAAATAAGAAAACAGTGTGTTTTCACCCCAATTTTAGGTAAACACTTACCATCATCAGTAGCATGAACAATGATTATGTAAAAATTATCATTTACATAAGGGGATTCTCGGTCAGTCCGTTTCCTGGTGGCAACCGTCCCTGAGCCTTCATCTACATTGACCCCATTTGCTGGATCGTGAAGCTCTTTATATCTTGTAGAAAGGAAACATGAAATTTTTTAAATTAAAAAGTTATACCAGAAGACAAATCAAAACATAGAATGGCAGGCATAATTCCTATCACAAGTGACGTGGGGCATCCTAAATGGAATCACAGTATTTGCCTTTCTGTGACTGGCCTATTTCACTTAGCATAACGTCCTCAAGGGCCAGCCGTACTGACGCAGACTGTAGAATTTCCTTCCCTCCTAAGGCTGAACACTATTCCAATGGATGCATAGACCACATTCTGCTTAACATTTTATCCATCAAGGGACACATGACTTGCTTCCACATTTCAGCTATTTGGGAATAATGCAGCTATGGACATGGGTATAGCAAATAGCTCTTTGAGACCCCGCTTTCAATTCTTTTGGGTGGAATTGCTGGATCACATGCTAATTCTATTTTTAATCTTTTAAGGACCCTCCATACTGCTTTCCACAGCAGCCGTACCATTTTACATTCCCACCAACAGTGCACAAGGGTTCTCGTTTCCTTTAAATAGGCCATACTTTGCCTGTTGTTTGTGTGCCTTATGATTTTGATGCTGAACACTTGAACACTAGATGTGGATCTGAAAATGTAGTAACTCTGAAAATCAGATTTTTCCCTTTCCCCCAAGGTTTTCTGGAGGTTTTTCTTACTGTTTTGTTTATCTTTTTGTTTTTTGATTATCGTAGGCTTTCTCTGGTGCTGCAGCTCAGCCTGGGGTGTAAATTTAATGTCTTGGTAGGTCCTTTTTGAGCCTTTCTCTGAACATACATGACCACTTTCTGATTTTCCCTATATCTATATACGCAGTTGTTTTTAACAGCCCACTCTTTAATTTCTGGCTCCTGAACAAGGAAAAGGTGAAAAATGAAAGAGGGGGAGGTGCTTGCCCTTTAAATCCTCTGAAGTCACATCAGGAGGGGGGGAGACTTGCAAAAATGTGGGAGATGCAACAGTAATGGCTACCTGCCTCTTTGCACCTCTGTGATCAGAGCAGCAATTAGAGCACAGAACCCTGATATTGGGAGGGCAGGGCCCTTTTGCCCACCCTGGCTGGCACAAGCTGTGGGCAGGCTGCTCCAGAGCAGTTGCAGGCTGCCTGCCATGCGGCTGGTTGGAGACGGACAGCTAATACTGAGAGCTGAATCTCAGAGCTGAAATCAACCAAAATTAACCAAACTTCACTGCCCAAGACTTTCTCTGGATGTTGCCAGGCTTCAACAGACTGCAGAGTTCCAGAGGAGACAGCTTCTGCCAGAGCAGTTGTCTGAGTGTGCAGACATAGTCCCGGTGCCTCCCACTCTGCCATCTTCCTGGGGATTATGAAACTTTCTTTTTTAAAGTGAAAGACTGAGCAACCCAAGTACTCATCAACAGATGAATGAAATGTAGTCTATGCATACAGCAGAATATATCACTCAGCCTTACAAAGGAAGGAAATTCTGCAGTATGCCTCAACACAGACGAACATGGAGCCGGTCACAGAAAGAACAAATACCATACAGACCCACTTGCCTGAGGTCCCTAGAGGAATCAGATTCATAGAGATAGGAAACAGACCGATGGGTGCCAGGGGCTGGGGAGGAGAGGGGTGGGGAGTCACTATTTAATGGGGACAGTTTCTGTTTTACAAGATGAGCAGTTCTGAGGTGGATGGAGGTGATGGTCGCTCAACAATATGAATGTTCTTCATGCACTTCCTGTCACTGAACTGTGCTCTTAAACATGGTCAAAATGGCAAGCTTCATGTTATGTATATTTTACCACAATTTAAAAAAACCAGAAACTTCTGTTACCCAGAAGTCAGAGGGCTGCCAATTTAGAACCTTTGGTAAAGTGGGAATTACAGCTCACAAATTATTTTTATATAAGAAAAAAACTGCAAAAAAGATATATGCCAAGTGCGAAAGGAAATGAGCCAGTGAGTTCCACCTGGTGGGGACACAGGACGCACAGCCGGAGGAAGGCACTGAGCTGGGCCCAGGGGATGCGGGGGGTGCGTTCTCCACGTGGCTTCTTATACTTTCATGTCTGAGACAGGTCAGCCCATGAGCACGTGGCAGGAGCTCCGTTTCCACAGGCGCCCTCTTAGGCATGTGACTAATTCCGCTTGAACTGCCTCTCCCCTTCCTCTCACCTGAGCTGGCCGGCACTTCTGTCTGGATCCGTAGCATTAAAAATTCCCGACTGAATTCCAGGCCCAGTGCCATCAACTTCACCGACGATGAAGTCCGTGGGGTGGAAGGCCGGTGGGGCATTGGCATCTGTCACGCGCACACTCACGGCGGCACCCGCCACTGCCCTCCCTGGAACCTGCAGCTCAGCCCCCTCACCGGAGAAGAGCGGCTCCTCGTTCTCCAGGCAGTGGCGCGGCTCTGCCCTGGGGGAGCTTCATGATCCAAAGGCTGGAGCCCCAGACAGAGGATTTCATTGCCAGTCACTCTCCCGAACCGGAGCCTGTGGCTTTCCACCTCATTCATTATTTACGTTGTCTTTGATAATGATCAGAGGACAGCCATCAGCCCTTTTCCAAGTCATTTATAGAGTTTTCTCTCTTTTTTTTCATTCCCTCTCCTGGTTGGAAAGAGCCAGTGCCCTTCAGCGGGTAATGAAGAATGCAACAGATGCCATGACCTGATGGGACACCAGTGGGGCGACTGCTGCCAAAACCAGGGGAGCTTCAGGAAATAGAGAGCCTAATGATCGTAGGTATCCAGGGTAGGGCTAGGAATATTTGGACAATTCAACCCCAGCCGTCTGGTGTAGGCTCTCCACAGAGCCCTGCTATTTGCAGCATGGCCGGCATCACCTGGGGACCTGGTACACTGACAGGTGGAGACTCAGTCCCCACCTCAGGCCTGCCTTTGAATCTGATCCCCAGGTTGACACACCTGTACTGCCCCAGGGGCACTGGTCATCCTGACGGAGAGCAGCTAACACCTGAAGCACGGGAGTCAGAATATGCTGGTCAGAACCCCTGCTCTAGCTGTGTGACTTAATGAAAACAACCTAGCCTTTCTGGGCTTTGGTTTCCTTATCAATAAAATGAGACAATAATACTTACCAGCAGTGCCAACTCTCCATTAGGAACAGCAGGCAGGGTACCAGGGGCTCACAGTACTTTTAGAGGCCTGGCAAATGTTCTAATTTCTTTTTAAACTCAGAAGGAAAACAAATGAACTCAGGGGTAGAGAAAATATTTTAAATTATTTTATCACATCCAAAAAAAGCAAACATCTTAGGGCCTATTTAAGTCTGTTAAATTTTGTCTATAATGAAAAAAATATATTAAATGTTGAAGTACTTAAAGTCTTATAAAAAAAATATTTAATATTGATATTATTTGGGTAGAAGGAGGAACTGAGGCAGAGGCCATGCCGTAGCCCTGCCCTCCCCACTAGGGCCATGGTGCAGGCCGCGTGCTCCACATATGGGGGCTTCCAAGCGAGCTAGTGTCTTCGTCAGACACCCCACAGGAAGGAGCCTGGGCACCCGGGCCCACCTGGCTGGTATGCATTCTGTTATGGTTTTACCTTGATAACATTTACGATCCCTTCGCTGGCCTTAGGGTCAGTCAAAATGTCAAAATGTCCCTCTTCATTGCCACTCAGTATTTTGAATTTTACTCTCCAAGCTGATGTGAATGGTGAATCACCACGTTGGACCGGGAGAGGCAGCACACCCTGGCTGGCTCAGCCCTCAGAGATCTGGATCTCATACTGTGGAGGCAGTCGTCATTTGCATGTCCTGGAGACAAAGAAACACAACTGAAAAACAAAGTGGGCAAGAAGATGCATCCCTCAGAACAACGACCTGGATATTTCTCTTGCCACCATCGCTGACCTCATGGGATTTAAAACGCTGCCTGAAACAGCAGAAAAGGCTGAAACAGCAGAAAAGGGTAACAAACATCTTCCTTCCCCCTGTGGCTTGGTGTCTGCAGCCGCATAACTCTAATGCACTCTTAAATCTGACTCAAGGCACTATTTTTCTAAAAATGTTTAAAATAATAATACACATCCCTAGTTTATGCTGCCTAAAAAACCTAGCTCTTTTCCTAAAACAGGACTCTTACGGTTACTTAGATTAAGATGATCATCTCTCTAACATATATAGATCTTTAAAATAGCTTGGTATTCGATACTTTTGGTGACAAGATACTTTCTCTCTGATGAGCACATCAAAAAACAGGGTTTATTTCTTTCCAGCCTTCCTTTTAAAGAACACAGCTTTCTGCCAAGCCAAAGAAGGATTTTGAAACAAGATTCAAAGTTAATAAACACTATTTTCAGTTATTCTATGCTGTTTAGTGAGGTGTTTTAATTTGAAAACATCTCAGCTTTGGTTTATGCAATTAAAAATATTTTAGTGACACTTTAAAAAGTAATTGTTGTAGCATTTATTTATTCAACAAATGCTTCTCCTATGTACCAGATCCTGTTTAGGTGCTGTGAATAAGACAGCAAAAATCCCATTCCCAGGGAGCTGATGAGGGTGTGTGACAACGGGAGCAGTAAGCTGGGGATTTAACGCAGTCATCGGGAAAGATCTCACTGAGAGAGGTCGGGAGAAAGACAGATACCTTTAAGATACAGTTATTTAGGTAAGATATCTTTAAGATAAGATATTTTCTGTTAAAAACATCCATATGGAAGACTGAGTGGTTCTTGTATTCTCTTTTAGCGATCTTGCATATCCTGTGTGGTGCCCTGTTCCCTCACTGGACTGGAACAGTGGGTTTCAACCCTTTCTCCAAACTTAGGAACCCTGTAGCATGTGAGCTCCTATGTGCAGCCCCCACATACAAATCAGGTGACTCCCCTTTTGACCCCAGAGCTCTGAGCCTCGTATGAGAAGCTCAGCCTACACTTCTCACTTGGGCACCCAATCCCGGGCGACACTCAGCAAGGTGTGCAAACAAGGGTCCCTGCAGCTGGAGGGATGCTTCTGGCATCTAGTGGGTAGAGATCAGGGCTGCTACCAAACACCCTCAACACCCTGAACAGCCTCCCGCAACCCTGCGGCAAAGAAATTTCCATCCCAAAGGTCAACAGGGTGGAAACTGAGAAGCCCTGAAGTGAAGTGGGCATGGACTCTCTCCCTCCCCTGTGCCTCCATGTCCTCGTCTGTGAAACAGAAACCAGCCTAGTTCCAACACTTAAAAACAGTAGTGTGTAAAATTCCCGAGCTCAGAAGTGTGTAAAATGCACCGAGTGGTGAAAGATGGAAGCTCACGTGACTAAACTTCAATGACTCTGTGTGGCTGTGGCTGACTCTTGATTCTAGCTTGAGCTACTGTGGAGAGTTATATGTATTATGACCTATTTGGGGATTCCCTCAGTGAAACTGAGCTGAGGACTCGAGGCCGTTGGCGACAGGGCTCAGAACTCCAGAGCGCCCGGGCGCTTTGCGTTCTCCTGGGTGAGTGTGGGCAAACAGATGCTGCCATCTTGCACGTTAACATGCACGGTGGCTGCAGATGACAATGGTGGTTCTCCAAAATCCCTTGCTCCAAATAGTAGTGTGAACTGAGGAACAGGTTACGGAGGCAGGAAAAGGAAAGTCAAGCCCTTCAAGTAAGGGAAATAGTAACAAAATTAATTTCATTTTAATTGAAAAAAATAAAATAATTGAATGAAATATTAATAAAGAAACATTCCGTGTTAGCAATTTCAGTAGCAAGTCTAGCCACAGAGGGTTTCCCACTGAGAATGTATAATCTAAATCGGGGCTCAAAGATCATAAAATCCACATGACCTCATAATCTACGCACGTGAGAGTTGTATTTCTCCACTAATATGGTCGATCTGGAACCCACTTTCTTTCAGTGACAGCATTTGAGAAACAAGGAAATAAAGGACTGGAGAATTTGGCGTATCTTCTTGATCCAAATCAGTTGTTAGCATCTGACAAACAGGTTGACCTGGAAAGAATTGTTTATAAACCATTGGCAAGAGGGGCCTGTCAAACCAGTAGCAGGGTGAGTCTTTGCTAAATGGCACTGGGCATTTACTAGAGTGGATTCGATATTTAAATATAAAATCAAGCTATAGACATACCAGACAAAATAAGCAAAATTTAGTCACACAGTCAAGAAGAACTTTCTAATTACAATTGTAAATGCAGAAAATTCAGAAGACAAACTTGATAGGGAACATAGATTTTTACATGGGTGGCAAAACACTACAGACAAATTTAAAAGGGAAATGGAAAGGTGAGAGAACATATTTGATACATATATATATATGGCAAGGCAGATGGTCTTCATATAGAATGAGGAGGTTAAAGCCAAGAAGAAAAATGATCAGGACACTGACAGACATGGACAAAGATGGGAAGAGGCAATGATCAAGGAAACAGAAGTGGTCAAGAAACCTGTCAAAATATTCAAGCACTTAGCAATCCAAGGTGAGCCGTACAAGGGGGACTCAAAAATGTTGCGGGTAGGTAAGTAAATCGGGACGCTTACATTGTGTGTGCGGTTTGAACCAGCCGTTCTACTACTCTGAATTTACCCCAAGCAAATAATGCTTGAAGGCTACACAGAGTTAGCTCAGTAGGTTCATTGAAGCATATTTTATGAAAATAACAAAAAGTGGCAACAAACATGAATGTTCACCAACAGATTACTTCTATTCCTTAAGGCATATCCATAAAATAAAATGTTGCACAATAAGATGCTGTAGGAAAATACTGTGAGGTTACAGACAGGAAAATTGTACTTTTTAAAAGAAAATTCATAAATATATAAAAAGCATACCCATATATTTGTAACTACTTAATATATACACACACATTTTATACTATGCTAAAGATTAAAAATTATGTAGATAATACAAACATACATCTATAATTATATATAAAAATCTATAAATGTATTCACATATATATATATACATATACACACACAGAAATGCAAAGAAACATATTGAAAGAATATAAACTAAAATGTTAATGGTACTTTCTCTAATTGGTAGTATTAAAGATGCATTCTATTTCAGTCTTTTAATTTCTTTGTATTTTCCAAATCTTCTAAGACTATTTTGTGAAATAAATAACGCTTATTGTTAAAAATACGTGCACATTCTAGTAAGAAGGGCTTGGATTTAAAGACTCAGAGAATCTGTAGCTCAGAAACTTAGTGTCACCTTGTTGCCATTTCACAGGTGACAAATCAGCAGACACTCAGCTGCCTGTTCCCTCCTGCCCCTTGGTTTTATTTCAGACTGGTTTTCCTATCACCTCTCCCAGCAGACGCCATTCCCACGTCACCTTTTTGCCACAACAAAAGGGGGCCAGCAGGCCTCAAAGCATCTGCTCTAACCCAGGGCCTGGACCTCTGGCATGTGAACAGCAAAGCGTTGCCCAAAGACAGCTGGGATCAGGCGCCCCCCAGTATGGGAGCAGGAAAGCCTACGCCCCGAGAGGGAGGAAGCCTGCGGCGGCCGCACCCACCTTCCGCGTGCCTCTCTCGCACATTCACGCTGAATTCCTTCTCCGCGAACTGGGGTGCGTGACCATTCACATCGCTGACCCGAACTTGATTTGTCCATGGATTTGTCCATGACTTTTCCTGTAAAGCGATTCACAACACTGAAACAGACCTAGGAAGCAGAAAACTGTGTTAGTGCTGCACAGCCATTCACCGGATGGCATTCAGCCAACAGCCGTCTCGGTGACAGTGTGGCCACTAGACTGAGAGACCCTGAGGGCAAGAATCACACGTCCCTGTTCGCCCTGTGGCTCCAGGGATGGAGCACGGTGCTCAGTAAACATTTGCAGAACAAATTCAATGCACAGACTTGAAAAAAAATACATCATTAGTTAATATTAGTTTTAAATCCCAGTGTTTCCACCTGGGTAAACGTAGACACATTGCTTATGAGCCTCAGTTTCTATATCATATCAGTGTTGTCATGAGAAATAAATACACTAACAACTATTGCTCAAACACTGCAGACAGCAGACACTTAGGCATTCTGGGGAAAGTGAATATTAAAGTTAACTCTCACAGTGACCCAAGTAAGGTCGGTGCTGGAGTACCCACGGCTCCTGCTCCTGTACTTGAAGAAGAAGTCAGCTCTTGTTAAATGTGCCTTAGAAAACTCGTTCCTTTCAAAAGATCTCAAATTAGTAATTGAAGCTTCTCTCTAGTTTCTTAAGAAATAAAAAAAAAAAAAAAAAGTAAATTAAACTCAAACAAAAAGAAGGAAATAATAAAGATAAAAGCACATATCAATCAAATTGAAAATGGCAAAACAATAAAGTCAGTGAAGGCAAGAGCTGGTTCGCCTTCCCATGTATATTTGAGATCAGCTTGTTCATACCTATAAAAAACATTATTCTGTTTGTTTTATTAGACTTGCACTAAATGTATAGATAAATCTGGGAAGAATCGTCACCTTAATATTCAATCTTTCAATCCATAAACTTGGTATATCTTTTCACTCAATTAGGTCTTTGATTTCTTTCATCAGCACTTTTTTGTTTTAAAGGTTTTGTAAACAGATCCTGTACATATTTTAGATTTATACCCAAGCACTTCATTTGTTTTGGTGAAATTGTATATGGTACTGTTTTTAAATGTTTCATTTCCAATTATGCATAACTGAAACACAATTGACTTTTATATATTAACTTTATTTTCTGTGACCTTGGTAAAATTAGCTTTCAAATGCTGAAAATAGGCAAAGAATTTGAACAGAAACTTCCCCAAAGAAGATACACAGATGGCCTATAGCTCATCATTTGTCCTTAGGAAAATCCAAATTAAAACCCCCATGAGATACATATTGCTCGTGGGCATGCAAAATAGTTCAGCCCTTCTGAAAAGCAGTTTAGGAGTTTCTTATAAAATTAAATATATGCTTACCATGTGCTCCAACAAACCCAGTCCTAGGTATTTACTCAAAAGAAAAATATGTCCACCTAAAATCCCATGTGCTAACATCAGCTTTATCTGATTGCCAAAAACTGGAAAGAACTCGTGTCCTTCAAGTGGTGAGTCCATAAATTGCCAAACTTCCATAGCAAGGAGAACTACTCAGCGATTACAAGGATCAGAGTGTTCATGTAACAACACAGATAGATATCAGACGCGTCGTGCCAACTGGAAAAATCCAGACTTAGAAGGTGCCCTTCTGTGTGATTCCATTATATGACATTTAAACAAGATTAAAAGGTGGGGATAGAAAACATATTAGGGGTGCCCAGGGACTTAGAGGTAGGGAAGGGTTTGATCAGAAAGGAGATGCATAAAGAAATACTAGGGGTAGTTGTGCATCTTGATGGGTGGTGGGAGCACAAGGCCGCACTTGTCACAACTGAACATTGAAAGTATGCATTTTACTGTGTAAATTTTTAAATTGAAAAAATAAAATACACACAACATGTGGAAGCAGTAAACGCAGTTAAGCATTCCGAGATTATTGTGTTGTCCAAGTAATTATAAAAATACTTGATGTTCAATCTAATAAGTGAAGAATGGATGTTGGAATGTCTATAGTAATCATTAAATGAATAGTAAAAGCATGTATAAGTAACAGAGAAAGAAAAACGGAAGAGTAAAAAGAATTAACTCAAAAGAATATGAGAAAAAAACGGGAGAACCAGCCTAAAAGCTGAGCAAAGAGAAACCAAATGATAAGATGATAGACTGAGCACAAATATTCAGTTTCTATATTAAACATAAAATGCTAAATATACCAATTGAAAAACAAAATTAGACAAATGCAACTATGTGCTGCTTATAACAGACCTGCCTTAAATATAAGGTCATGGAAAAGTAACAAAAGTAAACATCTTTGTACCACGTGATCCAGCAATCAAGCTCCTAGGTATTTACCCAAAGGAGCTGAACACTGGCTATATAAAAACCTAAGCACTGATGTTTAAAGCAGCTTTATCCATAATCATCAAGTCTTGGATGCCACCTGGCTGTCCTCCAGTAGGTGATGGATAAACAAGCCATGGTACATCCTTGGTATTCTAAGTGGAATATTATTCAAAGGTTAAAGGCCTGGAGGTAACCTCAGTGCATATGAAAGGGAACTAAGCCCATCTGAACAGGCTGTGTGCTGTACACTACCGGCTCTACGACATCTTTGAAAAAGGAAAACCAGGGAGACAGCAAAAGCATCAGTGGTTGCCTAGAACTTGGGGGAAGGAGGGAGGAACAGGTGAAACACAGGACTTTCAGGCAGTGGAAATACTCTGTGTGTTACCGGGAGGGTGGATATGTGTCCCATAGATTTGTCTAAACCCATAGAATATGCAACACCAAGTGCCTTGGGCCCTGGGCAGTGACGGCGCAGCACACGGGCCCATCCATGGACCATGAGTCATGAAAGCGGCGCGCTGATCCCAGATGGCAGCAGTGGGGACACTGGGGATAAGTGGGAACGTGAGGCGTGTGTAGGCACTCGGGACTTTCCACTCTATTTTTCCCCAAACCTAAAATGCCTCTAAAGACTAAAGTCTATTAATATAACAGAAGTCCCTACTTATAAAATAAAATGTGGTAACCATATATATATTTTTAAAAGTAAGTCTAATCTGACTTGCTACTGAACCTCTCCTGCTGTAGGATAAACAGTGATTTTATTTGTTGAAGGCTGAAAGGATGGTGAGGCAGGGATCACGGGGAGGCAGGAGGGCCAAGCCTCAGAGTGAGGGCAGGAAGGGGTGCTGGCTCTCAGCTCCGTGCAGGTCAACCCGCCTCCCCTGCTGGAGGCCCCCTTGTGCTGCTGCCCTGAAAGGCTCCATGACTTCCAGCTCTCGGTTTGGAGGCAGAGCAGATGGACTCATGTCCAGACAGAAGCAGACCTGACTCCCATCCACCAGTTCCTCACACCCGCCCCGCTGGCTACACGGAGGCCTGGGCGGGCAGCTGCACCAGACGGGGCCTCAGGGACCTCTCTCCTCCTCCACCTCATTGCGCTCACCCCCTTGGGCGCATGCCCTATAGACCTGCTGCTCACCCATGCATCCACCTGGTGGTCCCACTTGTGTCCCAAATGGCAGCCTGGGCTCCAAGTCTACTCTGGTTCGGCCCTCTCCCCTCTCCCTACACGAGCACTGAACTAGTGTCCTTCAGGGACTCCAATGTTCATGTTAATATTTTTGTGCAGGCCAACTGGCTTTCTCACACACCACTCCTGCAGGCTGCTCCATCATTTATGACCATGCTGGCAAGTCTTTGCTCCTTAATCATACTGACTTCCAGCATTAAAACGGGGCCAACTGTAATCTTTCCACTTAAAAGCAAGAACCACATGTTTGTTTTATGTTTATTATTGTATCTTCCATTTATTATCCTAAAAGCTTCATCTCAGACTTGACGCCTAAGAGGCATAAGTGCTGTTTATTCTTTGGCAAGATGCTGGGGACTCCAAATCACAATGGAGAAAGGAAATGTCACAGATATTTTCTGCATTTGGGAAGGGTTGTCAGGTTTTTGTTACAGTCTTAAGATTTATATCCTTGGGTGAACACTCCATAGTACATTGACATGATGGGTCGGCATATGGCTGTTTGAAGTGGCATGTGCAAGATCTACCACACAGATGAGCACATGGAAACTTCTTAAATACCAAACCCACGATACAGGACCACCTACACGCGTAGGTTATGGTAGACAGGGAGAACTACATTGGGATAATGATCGACAGTCAGTAATTATTTCAAGGAATATAAAGCTCAAGATGATTGTCTTGAGTGTGTTTGTACCTATGAAATTGAGCCTATTTTGACATAAAGAGATCAGATTCCTACCCAGAAAAAAGTCAGACTTTTCTTCCCTGTCCAACTGTGCCGTCAATCTCACAGCATCTCAACAGGTATTCCTGCTTTCGCGTAAGTTTGTGGATTAACCCCCACCACTACTGCCACCTCCCCAACACAAGTTTTCAAATGGTTTCCTGTTTTTATGACTCCTTCATTATCCTCAAGAGAAAAGCAGTGTTACTAGAATGTCTCATCTCTACAACATCCAGTTTAATTTTTAATACACCCGTCTTTATGGACAGCTAAAAACCAGTAGCAAGCGTTCTGCTGCAGAAGCAGCTGGCCAGCTGGAACACGGTTTGAGCAGCGTTTCCCGTCATGCTTTGCTTGTCCCACCTCCATGGCTGCTAATCCTCCTGGTTTCCAGAAGCCTGCCTCCTACCTTCCCAATGAGTTTGTAAGCCCAAGTGCTTGTTTCCCTGGCTGATGTGACAAAGCACCGCAAACGGGGTGGCTCCCAACCCTTAGGCCTGTTCCCTCCCAGGTCTGGAGGCCAAAGCAAAATCAGGGTGTGGGCAGGGCTGGTTGCTTCTAGGGGTCCTGAGGGAGGGTCTGTTCTGGGCCCCTCTGGCGTTGCCAGCGTCCTTGCTGGTCCTTGGCTCCTAGACATGTTGCACAATCTCTGCCTCCAGCTTTTTGGCCTCCTTACCTGTGGCTTCTTCTGTGTCCAAATTTCTGACCTCTTCTAAGGACGCCGGTTGCTGGATTAGGACCCACCCTCAGCCAGTAGGACCTCACCTTAATTTGATCACATCTGCAAAGACCCTATTTGCAAATAAGGTCACACTCACAGATACCACGGGTTAGGGCTTGAATCCAA